TTGCTTAATTTTGAATTGGATTGATTTTGTGGGATAATCTAGGGATAATCGGTATCTAGTTATTCGTTCCTACACACCTGGAAAAATTGATGTAAATTTAAGTGCTCTGAGACTGACATATACGAGCGTCATTTTTGACATAAAATTGAGTCATAATAGACGCGAAATTCAGCTCAATCAAACGTACTTTCGAACTTTTCAGTCTAGGATCACTTAATTTTACATGACATGTTTGCTTACGTCTCATACTTTATGTCAAATCTGGATTCCGTCACGTGTAACATTAGGTATTTTTAAGTGTGTACTCGGGATATGAGGTCTCGAGCTTAATCCATGCGTACCTTATCTTTTTCGCCTTAAACATACACACTTAGAAAAAATCATGTAAATTTAGGTGATCTGAGACTGACATATACGAGTGTCAATTTTGACATAAAATAGAATCATAACAGACACGAAATTCAACTTAATCAAACGTACTTTTCGTCGAATAACGAACTTTTCAGTCTCGGAGCACTTAATTTTACATGAAATATTGGTTAACGTCTGATCCTTTGTGTCATAGATGTCACGTCACGTCACGTGTTAAATTAGTTATTTCTAAGTGTGTAGATATTGCTCCCATTACGTCATTTATTGACCGATTCAGATAAAACTACCTCCAATCGGTCAGGAATTGGGTTTAATTTTATAATAGTTGAGCGTAATAAGTATTTGCTGAGTTTTTAAAGAAATAATGAGTGGTTTCCATTACTTCCAGACTTTCCGTTGGGTTCCGTGGCTTCCACACTTTCACGCTGAACTGACTTCTTCTTCTTGTTCTTGCTTTCAGAGCGTCACAATCGGTGATTTTACAATTCGTGAGCGCTCACTCTGGGTGAACGCTCACGTTTCGTAAAATCGCTGATTGTGGCACTTTGAAAGCGAAGTTGACAAGTTTTGTGAGTCATACATTTGGGTCATTTAACAATCTCTTCTTGCTACTTACGAGTACAACATATCATTATATCATCTGATGATTTCATAATTCCGAAAAACATTGTTTTATAGCAAGTGAGTGGATGCAACCCTGGTGGCAAGTACAATCATACTCTATGCCCAGGGAAGTCGATAAATTTAACAACCCAAAAAATTCCTAAACCGGACCGGGAATCGAACCTAGCCACCTACTTTGTGACCTGAGCTTTTACCGACTGAGCTAAGGGAGGCCCGAACTGACTGATTTATAATTACTTTTATCTGACCCATAATTGTGGGATAACTGTACAACGTGTATAATAAAGCAAAACATAAAGATAGGTGGTTCGTTTTTCAACATATCAAGTGATCTATTTAGTTGAATTATACTTTTTAAAGATGCTGCTTTAAGTTTTTCTAATATCAAAGCAATTTTTTCTCATAACAACTTCGAAAAATATATATTTGTTCATGTTTTCAAAAAATGTGATCATAGAAGACGTCTGTTTTTTGCTGAATATTAACAACCGGCAAATTTAAGGGATTTTAACTGGGAACGGGCAAATTTCAATATTAAAACTCACTGGCCAGTCCTGAAGCTGCCTTTCTATATAAATATAATTATTTTACAATATTTAAAACAAATCATTCGTTATTTATTTATTGTTGTATATTGGCAAAAGATTTAAATTTTTATATTCTAGATGTTTTAAGATAAAATTTTGCACAATTCTCTACAATTCACTTGACTATTTTTTTAGGTCTTATAATCTTTGGATTACAACATTAAGAAGAAAAAATGTTGAAAATTGAGCCCTTTTCAAATGATAATCTGGATTTGATTTCATGGGAAAGAAATATGCATAGTTGCTCAAGTAGACGAAATTTTTACATCTACAGTGATTCTACACACTTCTTTACACAATCCAGAGACCTCGATCCTTTTTGTAATACAAATAATCCCACCTAATATTTTGCCAATTCTGCAGACGAATTCCAGTGAGTCCCTATGAGGATTGCAAAAAATAATAACCAGAATTTCAGGTCTGTTTAAAAAAAATATTTAATGGCTTTTTACTCTCATTAATAACAATTTTGCCCATGGTCTGTTTTGCGATGTTTAGTCTTTAAACACTCCTAAACGAGGAACATCCATTTCATGCGGAATAAATAAAGGATGGAACGGGCGAGAAGTGGTCAAATCAAATTTTATGTATTTCAATTTGGCGTATTGATAACCGTCAATTTGAAATTTTATTTTTGCTCAAACTGCTCTAGACCAGTGCTGTGAAATACCTATACGATGCTGATTTTCACTTGTCCCCTGATGTCAGTATCAGCTCACACAGTTCCAATATCAATGTCACTCACCTCGCAAATTACATTGACATCGTATGGGACGTACTGATATTCAAAGTTCTGCAGCAAATGTTTTTCTTATATCAAGACTAACAATTGAAAAGGCCTCAAATCCATTTTGTTAACAAACCTTGTAAGGTCGTTCGCAATTCTGTCGTATTTTTTATGGACTGTTTCAAATTGAAACTAGAACAGAAACGCACCCCTCGCAATGCTGAGATGTAGTTTCATTATTTGAGAACTAGTTTGCGATTTAGGTTAGCGACTGAAAGTCAATTTTTATTTGTTATATGCGACAGTTAGAAGATACTGAGAGGTTAGCACATATCATCGGCAAGAGACGTGCGTGTGAGAAAATTTGCGAAAAAATCTAAGGGCACCGGTGGGATTCTAACCCACAATTCCCATTCAGTACACGGGTGCATTGCCAATTATACAACGGTGGACCTATGGTCTACGGATGTATTTGGCTAATGACATATGAGTTTCGAATCCGTTTCCCTCCCTAGTCTTTTTGCGCAAGCGTTACTAATTTTCTCACACGCACGTCTCTTGCCGATGATATGTGATAACCTCTCAGTATCTTCTAACTGTCACATATAACAAAGAACTAGTTTGCACTATATTTGCAACAGCTCGTCTATTCTGTTTTATTTATGAGCGGGTCTTAAACACGAATGGAACTCTGTTTCTTATTTCTATGGATGTATTTGTGAAGCTTCTAATCTGACAGATGGCAGATGGCCAGGGGAAAACGAGGTGACGAAACGAAATCTCATTCTGTTATTGTTTAGATTCGGCAAATTGATAGAGCAAATAAATTGGCTTTACATCATGGACTTCTGTCAAGAAACCAGATGACACCTAATTTTTTTTTTGAATTTCAGGTAATTAGAGATATACAAAAACTTCTCTGTATATGGTTTTCAATACTTCTTATTCATCAATTATTCTGAAGATTTTCTAATGCTTAATAATTCAAATCGCGTCTCTTAGATATTCTCTTACCCAAATAACATTGCAAGTTTTATGGAGGTTTTAAAGCATGCTACAAGTCTAAATCATGGTCTACAGAACCCTTATAAAACCCAAATTGTTACTTGGGTATGATACCAGGTTGCCCAGAAATTATTCCAAAGACCAGCAGGTGATCAGAGATTTTCATTAAATCCTCAGGATATTTTTGCATGCCTTCAAGTCAAATAGGTACTATTCTAAAGGTATCCAACAATTCATATGGGTCATTCCAGCTCAAGTGGGTACACCACCTGTGGTCGAATTCACCGATTTGAGCCAAACTTGGCCAAAACGCTTATTTTGGCATTCTGAACGAACGCCTTTTTTATTTTGTTTTTAAGTGCCTAGATCGCTCTCGGCTAAAACCCTGAATTTTCAAGATTAAAAAAAAAACATCTTGCAGAAGAGATTACTCCATAACCAAATAAGCTTTTCGTGATCTTAGAACTTCAATTTGAAGGTTTTAAATGTAGATTCTTATAAGTGTACCCATATTTTGTTTTGGTTATAATAACAGCAGTAAACAGGCTGATAACCGGCAGGTATCCAAATTATCAAAAAATGGCCCATTTTCACCATGGGCGGAATTTTTTATTGCCCCATATTTTGGGCTCAAATTTTCACCACACTTTGAAAAATTTTTCTACTTGATGTGTTTCCAACGCCAAAATATTTGGACAAATAGTTTTTGAGATATGACCTGATGAGTGAGAGGTAGTTTTGATTTTTTATGGTGAAAAATCAAAGACTATGCGGGAGGTGGCTTGGTACGATTCCTGGTCCGGTCTACGATTTTTTTTGGGTTGTAACATTTATCGACTTCCCTGGGCATCGGCAATCTCAATTCTAGATGGTCAACAAATCTCACACTAAGGAATCAATAATCGAAACAAATTCTTTCATATCTCACATCTACTTGTAGCTGAGCTAAAGAAGACCCCGGTAGCGCATATATATTAAAACAATTTTTTAATGGAATTGGGTTCTTCAATTTTGAAAAATATACCGGTAACTATACATCATCTGAAAGAGCTTCGTTTTCTGAGCACAGCTATAGTTTATAGCTATAGTTTTTAAGTAAGGTACGCAGTTGAAAGTAAAACGGAAAAGAAATGTTTGAGGATTATTCCCAAAAGAAAATTTGACAGCTATAGTATATGTTTGTTAAAGGCTTCCAAAACATGATTTTTGCAACAAACGACAAAATTACCTAACGGAATAACTGCGTACTGGGTCAAGAAGTTTTGAAGAAAAGTAATTTATTCAGTATTCCGTGTCCTATCCCGTAGCACGTAGAAACGTCATTACTGTTTAACTACGTACCAGACTTAAATCAAAATTTAAAGCAAAATAAGCACTTCACAGTTCGAAACTAAACTAACAAATTGACAGCTCGCTCCCATACAAAGTACCACCAAGGGGCGCTAACATGATGATTTTTGCTAATGTGATCACATTTATTTAAAATAGGTCCAGTGCTCCAAAATTGATGACATGTTTTCAGTGTCGGTTCCTTTTGACATTTAGATTACTCGCGTTAGTATTAAGTGCGAGAACGAGTTCATTTGTTTGGCCTAAATTCAGTTCGATGGTTACTACTTAATTTTCAAAATATGACCTACAATCAATTTCTTACCTCCAACTTTCGTCTCCTTCCGTCATTCCAGATCGTCCTCAACTCGATGCACCGCTACCAACCGCGCATCCATCTGGTTCGGCTCGGTCCGGGCCAGAACATTCCCGGCACGCCAAAGGAACTGCAGGATGTGGACTACAAGACGTACGTCTTCCCGGAGACGATCTTTACCGCCGTCACGGCCTACCAGAACCAGCTTATCACCAAGCTCAAGATCGATTCCAATCCCTTTGCCAAGGGTTTCCGCGATTCGTCCCGATTGACCGACTTCGATAGGTGAGTCTCAATTCTTTCCCTCTCCCATTACAAAAAAAACCAAACTATCCAAACAAACCAAACCAGGACAGGATCGCCTCGGGTCCAAACGACGAACGAACGGCAACTTTGCCACCACTTCCGCAATCTTCCACCAACCACCATTTTAGCACTGACATTCCCCAACTTTGATTTTGTTTCAGTTTCCCGGGAATGTAAGTATTCCACACCTTGGATTGCCGGACCGGACCCTCGGTCAGCGAATCCGTAAATATGAAAAGAACGATTTCACACACTAATTCCTCGCAGAAACTTTATCCCGAAACAAATCACATCCATCAAAAGCCCACGCGTCTCGCGATTCCAACAATCTAACCTAACATTTGCTTTGAAATTTTGCCTGCGCTTTTGTTATTGTTTCAAATTTGACAGCTCTTCAAGCGAGTGAGCGACCGAACGAGCGACGAGGGGTGCAACAATGTGCTAAATCCGCTTCGCTCCACTCTGCTGTTCTTGGTTGTAGCAATGGTGGATGAGTGCTGCTATGCAATCAATAACGCTAATTTTGCTCGTAAATCTTGTTACCTGGAGCAGCATTAGAGCTGGCTGGCTGGAAATTGTAGCTCTGGGGGGAAATGGTTTATGGCAGAATAATTGTTTTCGGCGTTAGTTTTTCGCCATTAATCAAAGTGCAGTTTTTCCTCTCCTGATGGACATGTTCTTGCTCTGCTGTTGATGAGAGTGGGTACGGGATGAGAGGAACCTCCTGATCGAAACCGGGAAACGCGAGAAGATGAAGATGACGACTGTTAATATTGCGTTATATTTATGATTATCACGATGCTTCAGTGCACGACGAGTGGGGAGGGGTAGGATCCGGTCGGTCGGTGGAGGGGTTTTTTTTTAAAGGGGCACAGTTGGTTGCGCGGCATTCCGGTCGTAATTACAGGGGACCAAAGTTGGAGGGTTCTTCTCGGCGGTGTCGGGAATATTGATGTTTGCCTCCGAGGAAAATTCGAACTGAGATATGAGCCGGGATGAGAGCGAGAGCGAGATGAGTACAAAGAATCACACCGACGACGACAAGATGGGGCTGTCAGCGCCCGGAGGGTGGTGTAGCCGCGGGTGGAATATCCCGTAAAACGAGGATCGATCGCCGGTACATGACGGCTTTTACGACATCCTTTTTTATCGCGTCATCATCGCGCTGCGGCAGTGGGACGTCAAATTGGGAGTGTGAGTGTGGAAAAGGGAACGCTCAGAATGGGCTACTAAAATCTTTTTTTACGGCCTCCCGTGCAAATTTCGGCGAAAATTCGACAAGGGCGTGACAGTTCAAGATTTGACAGCATCTCTCCGATCCGGAATGTGCGCGAGAATGGTACCGGGAAATTGACAATAACGCTACCGCACAGACTTTGTGCAGCACGGAGGGGACGGCTGCGGCAGTCATAAAACCGAACTGCGACGGCTAGAGTCAAATGAGTAATTTACACGTGTTTTTAGTACTCACCTAAAGGGGCGCTTTTATCGCTCGTTGCCAAGTTCCGAAACGAATACTCTTCACATCGAGCGGAGATAAAGTAGATGCGCCGTAATTACGTAGGGAAGAAGGCCGGTTTCTCCTCGACATATCTTCATTGTTTCTCTTTGGTTTCTGGTTTTTTTTTTTGTGTTTTCCTTTTTCCGTATCGCGTCTACCATCCATGGTTGGACTCGGTGGTTTATCGTGGATCGGCTTCTTTATTGATTGTGTTGGAATGATCACAGCGTGGATTGTTTTCTTTTCATTTAGAAGAGGTTTTTGAGGTGTATTTATGAATGTGTTCTGCAGCTGCTGCCGCTGTCGTCGCTGCCTGGCTTTGTTTTGCTTTGACTAGCCCCTTGCCCCATCGGTCGGTCATTGGGTGATGTTAAATGAACAAAGCTCGCGAAGTCATTGTTCGGTTTGATGTGTGAACGGTTGAAAAGTGGGAGGGACAGACATCATCGTGTTTTTTGATAGGTGCATTCACCGAGGGGTGCGTGAAATTTTAAAAACTAGCCTGGTCACGATTGTGGAAATAATTGAAAATGTATTGATTCGGTCTATCTTTCTCGTATTTCTATGTGTGCGATGTAAGGCTCGGCGTGTAAAGTGTTATGTTCCAATCATCATAATGTGCGATAGTTTTAACAGTTTTTGCAATTTTTGGAAACTTTAAAAAAATTAAAATTTTGACATTCTGAAAATGAATTTGAAACATTAAAAAAAGTTTACGTTTCAAGTGATACTCTAAGGAAGCCTTAGCGTGAAACTTCAAAGGCACAAATGTCAGCTTCCAAAAAACATACAAATTTGAAATTGCTACTCTCTGTTTGTAGTAGCACAGCAAACCCCAATAATTTTATCACCAATCGATCAGAAATATTTCTACGTATCGAAAGCAATGCTTTCGATCTTTGATTTTCAACAAGAAATTATTAAAAAGTGGTAAATGTCAAGCATTGTCCAAAAGCGTCGAAATAACTAACAAATCCACCAATAAAGTACATGTATATGCTGCTTCTCCAACACAGTCATCAGATAATCGTTTCTAGACGAAAAATGCCGATGAAGCATTGCTGTTTCCCCAACACAGTCATCAGAGAGTTGTCAGTAGACGAAACAAGTCGAAGTGGCATTCGCCTCCGATGTTCACACAACCACACGCCCCCAACGTCCACACAAAATGCTCTCCAGAGTTGTTATCTTGTAACCAAACTTGGAAGCGGGTGCAAGTGATTTTGATAAATTCTCTTCATCGACTTCCTGTTTCGTTAATAACTCGAGGGCAAACACATTCATTGATACGTTTGTTGTTCTGCTTCTAAGCAGTCGTCATTGAAATGAAAACTAGCATCGCACTGCATTTGGTTTTTTGGGTTACACTTGCTGATCGCAATTCTGCTGTTCGACATTTTCGAAGCACCACCAAAAAACAGGGAATTACACTATTTTCTACGGCCTAAAAGTCCAATTATTCGATTAACGATTAACCTAAAGATTTGTCCATGTTTTTTTGGGTTACACTTGCTGATCGCAATTCTGCTGTTCGACATTTTCGAAGCACCACCAAAAAACAGGGAATTACACTATTTTCTACGGCCTAAAAGTCCAATTATTCGATTAACGATTAACCTAAAGATTTGTCCAGCTATTCGATTAAATATTTAACCGCCGAAAATAAATAAAAGTACTAATTTACCTGAACATGCATAGAGAAGAACCATGATGTGAAGCAAGATCATAAATCCGCCCAAATAAGTGTTAAGCGTCTTTCTGCTAAAGGCTTATATTGACCAACTTGTTGAGAGAAGGAGTTTAACGAGGAAAACGAAAAATGGGAGGAGCTTTAGCTGGGTGACACCTATCGCAGACACCAGTCCAGCAGCAGACGGGCCAAGACTTGCGAGTGTCAAAACATTGAAGAATATGGGGTTGTCCGGTCCGATTTGCTGATCCAGCTGCCAACACATCATCATCAAAGCTCCGAAGGCTTTAAACCTGAACTACCATCGGTCCTTTTCAGGGTCTCCAAGATTTTCCAAAAGAGTTAAGATTCTGAACATGTTCCAACTAAAATTCATATCAAAAGGTTCTTTTCAGGGCAATCATAGTCTTTTAAAAGAGTATAATCAGAGAGAATCCCCGCTCAAATCTCTATTCCTACACAAAACACAAGCTCCTGCTGCAGTTAACAAATAACATTTATTATATAAGACCACGTAGTCCTACGTCACCATTGCGTACAACCCTATAGGGCTGTACCTTGTAGTTTTTTAATTGAGAATTTAAAAAAAATACTACGCCTTTTGACACATAACTAACAAATTCGCACAAGCGACGGGGGCGCTTAGATGGCGATTTTAGTCAATTTAATCGGATTTATTGAAAATCGTTCTAGTGAACCAAAATTGATTGAATTTTGAATTTCGGCACCAGATGACGAATATGTATTTGTCTCATAACCTTTAAAGAACGCAATTGCATGGATTCCCTTGATTTCCTAGAATTTAGGTGTGTTGTGGGTTGAAGTTTTGATCGTTCTAGAGTTTTTAAGAGGTATCCCCTAGCTCAGACAAGTGAGTTACAAAGCAATAGAGCACTTTTAAAGAGGTTTCTGATCAGCTGATTTTTCAATTCATGAATGACAATTGACAGGAGACAGTTATCTACCCGTTTTGAGAAGCAACATAAATTTCACAACCTATGTCGGGCAAACTGGCTTCTGTCATCTCGTAAAATGGACTTTCCTATGCTGGAGTAGGGAGGGGTTTATTTTTAAAAATCGATCGGGACATGTTTTCCCATGTGAAAAATGGTTACTGGGACTGGGATAGGCCCTTTTTGTTAAGTCGTTGTGCTAGTCATCAGAAATGGTACGCCTTTGGCTAAGCCTTTTCGCAACGTCAAATAAATTCAAAACAAATCATCGGCCCTGCCTCAAGCAGTAGGGCCTAGCTTTGGTTTGAAATTTTTCAATCATCGGCCCTTTTACGTCACTAGGTTTATCAATGAAATGAAATAAATGAATGGTTGGCCGTTTTAGCGTGCGGGCCTTTTAATGTATCGAAAAATTGCGTTGATCGGCCGTTTCGAAAATCGAGTTATTTTTGATGATTTTTCTCGATTATGCGGAACTTTCCTACACTATTAGTAGCTATCAAGCGGTGCTACAGAATGGTATCAAAACCCGATCTGTTTACGTTTTGGGCACAGGCCCATTTCAAATGTTACTCGAGAAATGTCGAACGATGAGAGAGGAAAAAAAAGGTAGACTATGAGAGAGAGAGAAAACGAGAAAAGAGAGGTGAAAAGCTCTCGAAATAGATATTCAAGCGAACAACGAGTTAGAAAGGGATTTCAAGTTACGGTAGGAAATGTGCATGGGAAATGTGGTCGAAGTAGCTTAGAAACCCTCGGAGGGAGAAGGAGAGTTGTCTGTTTTTTTTAATGTGATCTGATTTCAACGTTCAGTATTAGGAATACTTATCAACAATTCAGGGGAGACATGTCAGAAGGGTATAACTCGAAACGTAAACAATGACTTTGAACGTCGATTTCTCTTGAATAACCACACACCCACGGAATCAGACTACACCAGCTTATAGAACAAACATTACTCTGTCAGATGATTTAGTTAGTTTGAGTGTGTGTGTGTGTGTGTGTTTTGTCATTGTTGTTTACGTTTCG